AAGCCTTTCTAAATGTACATGACTAATACCGGAGTTAGTTTGCCAGAAAAGTGGTAACAGCAAACAGTTGGTGTGAATGGAGTCATTGATGGAGAGTCTGTATTGCACAGCGCAAGACTTCCACATAAGTCCTTAAATGGCAGTGTGTATTTCCCATCAATGAAACCTTTAAAACCAAGACATCAGAACATCAGATCATCCCATCTAATTTATGATCCCCTATGTCAACCGCTGTTGTCAACCAACTGTGTAGTCAGAGGTTATGAAATCTTTAGGATATGAAAGAGGCAATTGTTTGCGTTCGTCATATAGGCATGTGTGCGCATGTGTCCATGTGCATGTTTTCATTTGTGCATTAGAAGTTATATATTACTTACCCACAGAGAACCACACTGTGGAGCCAGAAGCCCTGAGGGTTTAACCAGAAAAAGATCTGTCCCTGAGGTGGCTCGGCATCCCCAGAAACTCCTTTTGCTGTCAGAAATAAAGATTAAAGAATTAAAAGTATGATCAACATAGGCTTAAAAAACTACACTAATCTCTTTACACTGCTTTTTCGACTGGAAGGATTAACATCTAATTGGTTATGCAGCCACAGCAAGTATTTGTGCAATGCAGAAGAGAGTTGTGTACAGTATTAGTGCAATGTACTGAGATAGAGATCAGAGGTTAATGATGTGAATCAGACAGGAACCAGACATTACCTTCAACATGCAGCTAATCTCCAGACCAGGCGCCTTCAGCTATGTCTGATAACATTGCTAATTATTCTAGATATACACTCTGCAGGGATTCTTGTAAATAGGCATATCAGTAGCTAGTTTATTATCACAGCACTTTACGCTGACTAAACGATACCAATGTTTGAGGTCTTGTATAAGTAAAATCTTACAAAGTCCTGACCGCAGCGTGTTAGGGGCTGCAGCTCATACTGCGAGGACACACCTGAAAACATGTGTTACCTCATCATTAGGGCTACAATGGGAATGAACTGTGAGCAACGTCACCTAAAGAGAGCCAGGCTACATTAATGAACTAACTGCCCACTTTGAGGTATGTAGTGCATTAAGGTAAATCTATACCAGGTCTAGCCACACTCACTCTCGCTCACTCGGGCATTGGTTCACACACCTGTAATGAAAAGGGACTGGTAGGCATGCTGTGTGCAGGAAATAAGGAAACAAAAAGTTGCAGATTTGACATCATTACAGCACTGTGTGAGATGCCTGAGGCCCTGGAGTAGGCCTGGAGGTTGCTGCCATACCTCAGGATAGTCTGGAGAGTGCGGCTTGACGGTTTCCACGAATCCTTTTGCAAGTGGCGTGAAGTCTGGAGGTTATGACCTGTGCTGCTGCTTCTCACAGTTAACTTTGTCTGCTTTTCGCTCCTCTAGTACTTCACAATCTGATGAACCTGAGGTTAGCTAAGTCAAAGTCACATTTTGGAAAGTGTATTAGCCTGACACTCAAAGGCAGAATGATTTGATGGAGGAACACAAGACAAAGAGGAAGGAAACTGTTTTCAGCGTTTTGTCATTTCTCATCATGCCAGTTTGGTTTCTAACCATGTTTGGGCTGCTTCTCAAGTGATGCACAGTGGTGGTATTTGCTGAAGGGCTGTAACATTAGATTTACTGTCATGAGTTAGCGATGGAGACCATGGTGGCCAATATCCCTCTTTGTGGTGACTGTTCTCACATAATCATGTCTGTTTTTGAAGGGATCAGTGCTGCCCTGAAAATCTGCTTCCAAACTAATCAGAAATGTCAAATATCTCGGAGCCAACACAGTCGGGGCTGAGCTTAGAAAATACCAGTAAGGGGCAACCACAGACTATGTAAAATACAGCATGGTCTCCCACAGAAATGTCCTGTTTGCCGTTTTGAGAATGTGTAAATGTAGAAATGTAGTGTTGCTAAATTTAATATCGCTTTGGCTCCCGTAGGAGTTGAACCCGTCGATAAATCCTTAAAGGACACAGAAGACTGCAGACTCCAAACCATGACCACTGTGATTATTCTGTTATACGTGACAGAGGAGAGAACAAACCAGGCAGAGGGAGAAAGGCAATATAAGTAAATGAGAGAAAGGCAGACTTTTTGGCACGAATGATAGCATCATTTAGGGTTGTCATGGGACTTTTTTTGGGCACACATTGTTCCAGAAAAGACCTACAGTTACAAAGCGACCTCCCACGACCTCGGCATCTAATCCAATCAAACAGCACCATAAGTGGGAGAATATAGATCACTCCAGCCAATCGTGTTATAGCGTGCTAATAGGATTATAGGGGTTTTAGTGTGTGGATTCCACCCTAGAGCTTTCATTTTATTACTTACACACATAGCATTGTATTCATATTGTCAGAGCCGTCCTGCCCCGTCTTGCATTCTAGCTTCTCATGCCTGTCTCCATCTCTATGTTTCACTGTCTTTCTTCCTCTCCCTGGGCCTGCTACTGTAGCCTCTGGCACTCTGACAATGCTGTCCTAGCACAGCAATCTGTTATCAGTTCTTATTGTAACCTGGGATCGAACACACACATGCAGACAGACACAGATGTACGGGAGAGAAGTACTAACAGTGTGTCTGCAGTACAGCACTATGGTGTCTTTGTGTGTGTGTGTGTGTGTGTGTGTGTGTGTGTGTGTGTGATGTATGTGTTAGTGTGTTTGTGGCAGGAAGGTTAGGAGAAGGTAAGAGGTCTAATTCACCATCAGATAGAGCGCTTGGCCAGGTAGACCAAAAGCATTCTTCTTGCATGGAGCCACCTTGATAAGAGGCACAAATATAGCCTGGGTGCCAGACTGACTCAGCTTTCAACTCTGCGCTTACGCTGTTTTGCCAAGAGAACAACAAAGGAGCTGGAGGGAGCACAACTGTTCTGGCTCCCATGCTTCTTGTTGAGGAGACACGAAGCACGGTTTGATGTTTGGGATATGTGGCAGACTGACAGAATAGATAGATTATTGTTGTATAATTGCCTAAATTGCCTGTTAACTGTGTTGCGTCAAATATCTCGGTGATAGCAGATGCTATGCAGATCTGCAGAGGAAATAAAACTCAGAAACCTCAGATGATAAAATTAGAATGCGCCATTAGATGGAATATTTATGTTCTCTTTGAACACGAGCCAACGATGTGTGTGTTTCATTTGCACATCTGTACATGCAAGTCGCATTTTTGTGAGTTGAAGATAACAGCCAGATAAAGGCTTTAGTGTTGAAATGTGATGCAGTTAAGATAATTGGATTTCTTATTTGTTAATTTATCCAAGGTATAAAGGTGCTCATTTTATGGCCATTCCTGTGTAGTGTCATGTCATGTTAAATTCACAACCATCTTCTAATGGGGTGAGACTGTAAGGATGGGGCAAGACCCCTGTCCCATGAAATACCGAACTGTGTATTTTCAAGCAAAACACATCATTTTATTTTGAATTTTAATATATTCAAACAACAAAAAAGCTAACACGCAAATTCCATTTTTAATTGTGGTGTATTTGCAGTGGCCTGCAGAGCGCTGTTTTATTTCCTCTGCACCATAAAGGCACAACCACCCATTCATTAGATAGATTGCACAACACAACCACTGTAGTGTGTTTTGCTCCCCTCTTTTGTATTCCCCGTTGAAACAATGTGTGTGCAATAATTATTCCAAGGAAAATTCTGGAGAGGACAACCCAATGGGGATACTATGTAAGACCAATATCGGGAACTCATTTTAACATTACCCCATGGGGTTTTCTAAGCGTGGATACTTGTTGTGTGCATCATGGGAATGCATGCTGTGGTGTACATTAACATTAGCTAGTAGAAGTCATCAAAGTGTTATAGTGAGTAGTTGTGTTTTGTGTTTTATAGACTGTGGTGGCTTCAGCCTCTCTATGGGCGACCATAAGTACTCTGTTTACGTCTGTCCGAGCTATGGGAGCCCTCCACGCTTGTGTGTGTGTTTCAAGACAGGAGCCTCTCTGGCAGCGCCCTACAGTTTCCCTGTGTGGTGTGTGTGTGTGTG